TCATCTCAATTTGAAACAAATTGAAATAGTTTTGCTTTCAGGTAGGGGTGATGGGAAATGATTTGTTGTCATTTTTGTTTGTAAATGTGGATGTACACCCCTGTAAATAATCACTGCATGTTCCCTTCGATAGCTCAGTTGTAGAGTGGAGGACTGTAGGGTTGTAAATCAGAAATACTTAGGTTGCTGGTTGAACTTGAGCTCGAAGGATGTGTTGTTTGTTGATGTCCAAAAGCCTGCTTTGATTGAATGGATTAGGAATGTGCCTGTCAGCTGCTTTGAAATCTTTCAGTTTATCCATGGGAAATGATGGGATTTTGTCATCATTGTGTGTCTGTTCCTTTGTCATCTCAATTTGAAACAAATTGAAATAGTTTTGCTTTCAGGTAGGGGTGATGGGGGATGTTCCTGTCCCTGTCCCTGTCATTTTTGTTTGTAAAATTCGATGTACACCCTGAAATAATCACTGCATGTTCCCTTCGATAGCTCAGTTGGTAGAGCGGAGGACTGTAGGGTTGTAAATCAGAAATCCTTAGGTCGCTGGTTCAACTCTGGCTCGAAGGATGTGTTCTTTGTTGATGTCAAAAAGCCTGCTTTGATTGAATGGATTAGGAATGTCCCTGTCAGCTGCTTTGAATTCTTTCTATGGGAAATGATGGGATTTTGTCATCATTGTGTGTCTGTTCCTTTGTCATTTCAATTTGAAACAAATTGAATAGTTTTGCTTTCAGGTAGGGTGATGGGGAAATGATTTGTTGTCATTTTTGTTTGTAGAAGTCGATGTACACCCCTGTAAATAATCACTGCATTCCTTCGATAGCTCAGTTGGTAGAGCGGAGGACTGTAGGGTTGTAAATCAGAAATCCTTAGGTCGCTGGTTCAACTCCGGCTCGAAGGATGTGTTCTTTGTTGATGTCAAAAAGCCTGCTTTGATTGAATGGATTAGGAATGTGCCTGTCAGCTGCATTGAAATCTTTCAGTTTATCCATGGGAAATGATGGGATTTTGTCATCATTGTGTGTCTGTTCCTTTGTCATCTCAATTTGAAACAAATTGAAATAGTTTTGCTTTCAGGTAGGGGTGATGGGGGAAATGATTTGTTGTCATTTTTGTTTGTAAATGTGGATGTACACCCCTGTAAATAATCACTGCATGTTCCCTTCGATAGCTCAGTTGGTAGAGTGGAGGACTGTAGGGTTGTAAATCAGAAATACTTAGGTTGCTGGTTGAACTTGAGCTCGAAGGATGTGTTGTTTGTTGATGTCCAAAAGCCTGCTTTGATTGAATGGATTAGGAATGTGCCTGTCAGCTGCTTTGAAATCTTTCAGTTTATCCATGGGAAATGATGGGATTTTGTCATCATTGTGTGTCTGTTCCTTTGTCATTTCGATTTGAAACAAATTGAAATAGTTTTGCTTTCAGGTAGGGTGATGGGGGATTTCCCTGTCCCCTGTCCCCTGTCATTTTTGTTTGTAAAAGTCGATGTACACCCCTGGAAATAATCACTGCATGTTCCCTTCGATAGCTCAGTTGGTAGAGCGAGGACTGTAGGTTGTAAATCAGAAATCCTTAGGTCGCTGGTTCAACTCCGGCACGAAGGATGTGTTCTTTGTTGATGTCAAAAAGCCTGCTTTGATTGAATGGATTAGGAATATGCCTGTCAGCTGCATTGAAATCTTTCAGTTTATCCATGGGAAATGATGGGATTTTGTCATCATTGTGTGTCTGTTCCTTTGTCATCTCAATTTGAAACAAATTGAAATAGTTTTGCTTTCAGGTAGGGGTGATGGGGGAAATGATTTGTTGTCATTTTTGTTTGTAAAAGTCGATGTACACCCCTGTAAATAATCACTGCATGTTCTCTTCGATAGCTCAGTTGGTAGCGCAGAGGACTGTAGGGTTGTAAATCAGAAATCCTTAGGTCGCTGGTTCAACTCCGGCTCGAAGGATGTGTTCTTTGTTGATGTCAAAAAGCCTGCTTTGATTGAATGGATTAGGAATGTCCCTGTCAGCTGCTTTGAATTCTTTCTATGGGAAATGATGGGCTTTTGTCATCATTGTGTGTCTGTTCCTTTGTCATTTCAATTTGAAACAAATTGAGATAGTTTTGCTTTCAGGTAGGGGTGATGGGGGAAATGATTTGTTGTCATTTTTGTTTGTAGAAGTCGATGTACACCCCTGTAAATAATCACTGCATGCTCCCTTCGATAGCTCAGTTGGTAGAGCGGAGGACTGTAGGGTTGTAAATCAGAAATCTTTCAGTTTATCTATGGGAAATGATGGGATTTTGTCATCATTGTGTGTCTGTTCCTTTGTCATTTCTATTTGAATCAAATTGAGATAGTTTTGCTTTCAGGTAGGGGTGATGGGGGAAATGATTTGTTGTTATTTTTGTTTGTAAATGTCGATGTACACCCCTGTAAATGATAGCTGCATGTTCCCTTCGATAGCTCAGTTTGTAGAGCGGAGGACTGTAGGGTTATAAATCAAAAATCCTTAGGTCGCTGGTCATTTCGATTTGAAACAAATTGAGATAGTTTTGCTTTCAGGTAGGGGTGATGAGGGAAATGATTTGTTGTTCCTTTGTAATTTCGATTTGAAACAAATTGAGATAGTTTTGCTTTTAGGTAGGGGTGATGGGGGAAATGATTTGTTGTCATTTTTGTCGATGTACACCCCTGTAAATGGTAGCTGCTTGTTCCCTTCGATAGCAGTGAGCGACGGCAGTCCGACTGTTTCTGTGCTTCTGATCTCTCTGTCCCGTTCTCATCTTTCCTCAACATTGTAAGCCAATGTTCAAAAATGTTAGCTAATCGCGTGGCTGGCATTGCATCTTTGACTCCGAGCCCATCGCGCCCTGTAAGCTGCATTGCATTCGAGCCAGTTGGAAGCTGGAGAAGTGAGGGCTCGCCGTGGTATCCCAATTGCCAGATTGTCTATGATCCCGTCCAACTATTTTTGCCAGTAGCGGAGAATCAACTGAACGGGACTTCATCTCTCAAGGTACACTGTCATCAATTAAATTATTGTTACTCATAATACATTATTTTCCCGTAGTTAGATTGTTCATTGTGGTTAGTTTGACTGAACATATACAGGGTAAACAATCGCTAGCTAGTAAAAACTTTGTAACTTTTAACTTGACAGTGTTGAATAAGTTGACGGTAAAAAGCCGGCCAGTCGTGTAAGTTATGTTTGTATTGTATTTTGCCGTGTTAACATCATCATTCATAGCTATCGTTAGGTGTCCATTGGGAGAGATTGGCTTCAGGCTAAGTCCTGCATCTGGCCACTTCATCTAAAACAGAATATATATTTACAATTCTAAATAGCTAACTTATATAGAAATAAATAGAATCGCCCTTTTTAAAGAGCTGAAAGCGAAAGCACTTGTAGCCGTGTAGAGCATGACACACTGTGTCCTGGTGTCAACTAGATCACCTGCCCAGTGGTCCGACTGTTGTCACCTGGTGGAAGCCATCATTATCAGGCTCTGTCAGCTTCACACGAGCCCAAGGAATCAGGGAAAGGGCAGCCTGACAAGATGGACTCTCATCATCCAGGACTAGAAAAAGATTAGGCAGCTGGTCCGGGATAATGGCACAGTCATGAAGGACACCTCTCTTCAGCTATATGAGGTGACCCAGACAACCCTTACAGTGACACAACATCAGTGAAGAGTCCAGAATATTACAAAATAGTGAATAGTAAATCTTATATTTTAACTCTCCCTGACCTTCTCTTTGCCGTTCTTCACACACTCAGACTGATAATGAGGACTTAAAACAATCACTGCTCTTAGTAGAATAAATTAATATATTAGAGCCCTCATTAGTTTGTGCAGGACAATCCTGACGGAGTCAAAATCTATAGTTCTACTTTCAATTATGTGAGCCTTTTACAAACCAGAGTGTATGAATATAATAATATATATAACTTGTAGATTTGATGCTGATATTGTGTAACGATTTTGTTATGTAGGATTTGTAATAAAAACACAAATTCACATGTTGGGTTTGTAGAAAGTTTAATGAAATATCTTACAAACTGTAAACTTGGAGAAAAGTTTACAAAAATGGCACAATAAAAAAGATTAAGGTACATTTACAGTGGTTGGCTGTTTTTAGATTAAAGACAATTTAATAAACAGAATAGAACATGGACCTGAGGCATTATGCAGATTAAACACTTTCATTTGCAAGAACATGATTAAAATATGATTAAAATTAGGTTAAAATAAAACACAAATGTGTTACCATCCACACAATGTTGGACCTGCACTGACAGAAATCACTCTTTTTCTTACTGAGTTTTCTTCTATACACCCCATTAACACTTTATTTATTTAAACTCTCTAAACACAAAAATACCCTCCATTATCGTCCTGGTTATCAGAAAAAAAACATGATTTTGAGTTTAACATTTCAGTCTGTTCTTTCTGTTTGTATTTTCTATTTTATGGATTTCAAAATTCAGCTTCAGCTTTTCAAACTTTACTGAGAAACTTTATCAGACATTTCACATCAGTTTGTAGGAATAAAAAATGTTTTTTTTTTGGAGCTTTAGAAACATTTCTCATTCTGACTGACATCACAAGAATCTCCTTTAGCTTGTTTTACTCAAGGAAAGTCAAGTCATGTTGGATTTTAAGACACTCGACAGCAATTATTGAAACAGAGCAGGGTTAGGTCGGAGACCTGCCTGACTGTCTAGGTCAGAGAGAGTTTCTATGTTGGGTGTGTCGTCTTGGTGGAGGGTGTTTCTTCAGGTTGCTGTGGTTTAGGAAGTGTTCTGAGCACAGGGAGCCGATGTAGTCTCCGTGGGTGGTGTCTCTGTCTTTGGACAATGTCTTCGTCTAGATTGAACACAATCAAATTTCCCTTTGGGATTAAACAAGTATTTCTGATTCTGATAGAGTGGTGTCGTTTTTGGGAGCGTCTTTCTGTCTATGGATGTTATCTTTGTTGATGTCTCTTCACAGACAGCCACTGGTTGATGGGTCTGAGTAGCGCTCTGAGCACAGGGAGGGGTCAGTGTCTGTGTGTGTTGTGTTTCTAAGTCTGTGGCTGTTGTTTTTTATGTGGGTGGTGTGTCTTTTCGTGCTTTGTCGGGTTCTTGGTTCAGAGGAGCGTTCAGACCGCAGGGAGGTGTTGATGTCTGTGGGTTGTGTTTCTATGTGTGTGTGGTGTTTTTATGTCTCTACGCGCGCGGGTGATGTCTCTTCTCATGCTTTCTTAGGTTGCTGGGGTCGGAGAAGCGTTCGGCGCACAGGGAACACTGGTACGGTCTCTCCCCGGTGTGGATGTGTCGGTGTATCTTTAGGTTCCAGAACTGGGAGAACTTTTTCCCACATACGTTGCAGCCGTACGGTTTCTCCCCTGTGTGTGTTCTCAGGTGAGACTCCAGGTTAGCAGGGGAGCTGAAGCCTTTACCACAGAACTTGCAGGTAGAGACTCGCCTCCTGCTGGTCCCTCCCGGAGCCTGAGCCCGATTCTGAGCCTCAGGGGGTCCCTGTACCTGATCTAAAGAGGGGGCATGGCTAGACTCCTCTGACAGGTCGATTACAGGAAGCTGCTGCTGAAAGGACACAGAAGTGTGGAAACCATGAGAGCCCTCAGCAGCCAATTCCCTCCCAGCATCGCCCAGCTCTGCTCCAATCAGAGCACCGGGCAGGTAAGAGAGGGGGGCACAGTGAGAGGACGGCCCCGGGAGGCTGTTGTCATGACAATAACTGCTTCCTCCATTGGTCCAAAGCGACGAAGTGCCATAGCTGACCTCTGAGAAGCCCCGCCCACTCTCCTGCAGGTCAGACAGCTGACTATTGGAGCTCTGTGTGATGTCATCAAACGGTAGAGCAGCTCTGAAGTCGTCTGTGCTCGACTCCACTAGACCTGCAGATGAAAAAAGAGGAAAATTATATATTTTTTTTTACAGCTGCAGTGTTTCTGTGCATTCATTAAGTGTCTGAATACTTGAAAAAAATCTGTTTCTGACTGGTTACTTTTGTGTGAAAGCCCCCGACAGTCTAAAACACAACCTGTTGGTGTGTTGTGGAGAGAAGTGATAAAAACAAACATTAGAGAAAAAAATCAAACCTCTACGTTCGTCTGATTCTGATTTAACACCAAATAAGTTTGATCAAAGATTTAAATGTTGGATTAACACATTTATGTGACATTGTGCAGAAGGATGAGACCTCACTTTGTTAACATGATGCATGGAAGGAACATTCAATCTGTTTCATAGACATTTATTCTTTTGTATTTCATTTTTTTTAATTTCTAAATATCTCTAAATAGTGTTATTCATTGCAAACAGATGAAGTCGTAGGTCTACCTGACTTTAGTTGATCTACTTCAATTTCCCTCTCTCTGTCTGGATTTAAACACAGAGATATGTTAGGGCTTCTTTCAGCAGCCACATGACGATGCTCAGACTCTAATTCTGGGAGTAAATCATTTGGACTTTTTCCGTTTGCCATACTCTTAAAAGTGTTAGTATCAGAGAAGTGTACTACGATCCGACTTAAAGATTAAAGTTGTCACCCTCGCTGGTCGGCATCAATATGAATATTTTGGTCGTTTCACTCACCCTCCTGAATGCTGAGGCTGCGCTGAGTTTGAGGCCCCGCCCCCAGCTGCTCCACATGCTCCACCTCCTCCACCTTCACCAGCACCACGTCCTCCTCCTCCTCCTCCTCCTCCTCTTTCTGTACACACACACACACACACACGCGCGCAACCATGAAAGTGAACCATGACAAAACATTTTGCAGAAACAACATTGATCAGATTTTCTCGAACTCAAATATCAATATTAGAGATGTGAGTGATCCAATCTGATATCTGTATCAGGTCCGATATTGATGTAATTTACGTATGGAATATTGGACTGATGGCGCAGATCCAGGTCACTGATAAAGAAAGATGGTCTCACTTTGGAGATGTTCAGACTGAACTGTAAGAAGTGTCCACAAATCATCACCAGGACGACGTTCAAACGAGAAGGAGCCGCTCCTTCTACATGATTACACTTACCGATAAGTTTAAAACATTTACTATAAACACCTGATAGCTGTTGCTGCTTCCTGTGTGTATGTATTTATGATAATAAAAATATCGGTATCTGTACATTTGTTTTTTGAAATCGGATCGGAACTGGAAAAAGTGTAAGTAAGTGAACTCTGCTGATAATAAACCTGATCTAAAACACTGTGAGGAATTATTCATCCCCATGAAAGTGAGCACATTTTTCAGACTGGAGCCAAAGGTCGGACCTGAACCTGGGCCGCCTGCTTTTGAAGACTTCAGCCACTGTACATGTAGCACGCTCACTAATCACTAGGCTACCTGCGCCCGTATCATCTATTCTTTTCACTATTGAACCCTGCAAGCACATAAAGAGTTGAACAATTATTTGACTGAGTAACTTGACAGCATATGTAGACGTTTGTGGGGTGAATCCTTCTGTGATTGTCTCTAATAGAAGAGAACGCGAATTAATGCTCCTTTAGAGAGCTGGAGTCAGAGATAGGTCTTCAGAAGGTCCTTTTGTTAAATAATAATACAAATGTTCAATTATTCATCATCTCGTCAGTCACAGCTAGCCCTGCTGTAACTCCTCCCCTCTTTCTGGTCTATCTGACTGTAAGAGGGAACATCATTTACTAAAAGAACATCACCCGCCGTCTTTATTTTTAGTACCAGAAGGGACCCTCACTCCTCTCCCGCTCCACCCTTTTCTCAAATATGGTGAATTCCTGAGTTAAAAACGTTTATACTGAAACATGAACTGTCATCTCCTCAGAGCTTTTAGTTTTTAAAGAGAGATTTTATTCCATATGCACAATGCTACAAATATTGAACAGTTACAGTACACACACGCGCAGAGGATGAAGCGAGCAGAGTCTTTAGATGAAAGAGTGGAGGACGTTAAAAAAACAAAGTGAGATCATCCTGAGCCATTCAAACACAGACAATAAAACAGAGCTCATGTTCACACGCTCCTATACATGTGTCTTCATTCTGTGAGACCTTCAGTGTGAACACATTATATGATGGAGCAGAAATGTAGCTGCTCTGACATGTTGAGAAAACACTGAAACACGACTCATTAAAAACAGTCACTTTTAAACAATGTTTCTGTTTATTAAAGGTTCTGTTTCCACTCTGATGTTTCTCCTTCGGACCCTCAGCCTCTGCTGAATCATTACGCCACACAGTACCCTTCAGATAAAAGAAGGCAGCTAAGGTGCGCCCCCTGGTGTCCCCTCACTGCACACTTCAGGGTGGCTCTTGAGCTGGTGAGTCTTCAGGTTTCTGATCAGGGTGAACCCTCGCCCACACATGCCGCAGGTGTACGGTTTCTCTCCACTGTGAACCCTCTGGTGTTTCCTCAGGTTCCCAGCCTCGGAAAACGATTTCCCACAGGTGGAGCAGCTGAACGGTTTCTCCCCTGTGTGCACGCGCTGGTGGATCTCGACCTTCTTAGGCCGGTTAAAAGCTTTCCCGCAGTAGCTGCAGACAAACAGTCTCTCCTTGGCGCCTGTTCGATTGTTCACTCTGCTGCGTTCGGACACAGGCGGACGCTCGGGGAGACTGAAACGAGTCTGGCCGTTCACACCCGAGGAGGATGACGGGAAATCTGCCGCCGCCATCGAGTACGAACACGACGGCCTACTCCCTTCAGCTCCGGCCCGCGACCGCTCGTCAAGAAACTCCTCGATCGACACGTCAGCGTTTTTCTCGGCGTCGCACAACAAGTCAAACTCAGAATCGCTGTACGGACGGTTAATGGTTTCCTGCAGAGAGCCAACAAGCTCACAGCTAAGGAGAGAGGAGGAGTCACTGACCTCCACTCCTCTGTCGCCCGCACGCCTCCTCCTCCTGCTGCCTGGGGACGGGGATAGGGTCTGCTGGGAGCTGGACTGGGTGCCCTGTTGGTGGAGGCCGGGTCTCTGTCCTGGTCCACGGGGGACACACTCGAGCAGTCCTGAAGAGAGACGACCAGGACAAAAGAATAAACAGTTCTTATTAAAAAGTCTTTATTTAGCCAACTTGTATTCACATAAACTCTATTTCTGTAGCTGTGGTATCAAACAGGTATCAATATCGTTTGATTATCATTAGAATCATATCAAAGTTTAAAATTCTGGATGATGATTTGAACCGACAGCCTGAAGTTTGTCTACTCTCTGTACTCACCATCGTCTCTGATCAGCACCTCCTCCTCCTCCTCCTCCCTCTCAGTCACCCTCGACATGATTGCCTCCACCTTCTCCTCCTTCACCTGCGCCTCATCCTCCTCCACCAGCTGCACATCTGGAGACTGCACACCAGAATAGGCCAGTATTAAAACCGGTTTAACATTCACACTACTGTCAGGTCAGGTCTGAGGATGACTGAGGCACGCTCACCTTCCTCTGCGCACGCTCAGTGTGGATCAGCTCGACGTCTTCTTGTGCAGCTCGGCCCGACCACAGAACCACGTCCATCTGTCCTCCGAACGCTGCGTCTGAAAACACACAGACACATCTGTCAAAAACATGGAGAGAGTCTAATCAAATTATTTTAACTCTGTAAAGGGCTGGAACAAAAATCATGTCTCAATACTTTTAGCCTGAATTGCGATACACAATATGTATCTTGATCAATTCAAAAATATTCCTAAGTCAAATCCAAATGGGCTGAATGCCAAATGTCACACACAGGCAACTGTATTTACAGCCTCTTTCACAACGTCAACATGTACAAGAAAATTATGTAAAAAATAGACTAACTGTTTGTGGAAAAAATAATAATAAATGAAATAAATACTGCATAATACTGTCAAATTTCCCCAAAACTCCTATCCAGGCATACCCTGAGGAATTTGAATTTGTTCTTGAAACGTTTAGATACAAGCACAAATAAGGTTTCTGTTGAACAATCTGCAGTTTCAGAATGTGTTGAAATTATTCCAAAAATCATTAAAACGTACTACTGTTGAAATAAGGCAGACATTTGTCACAGATTACAATACGTTTCTAAAAGTGTTTTATTTTTATTTGAAGAAAGAGATAGTCATCATGTTGATTTATTGGTCCACTTGTATCTTTACTCTGACAGTTTTGACTTGGAGAGAAACTAATCCAAATAACAGCAGAGCCTCCTCCTTTAAAATGCTCATGATCGTCACTGTTATTGTTTTCTGCCTCACCTGTGCAGGAGGATCTGGAGGTGGAGATGTTGGCGGCCTCTCGCAGCCTGTCTCCCCCGGTGATCTGCACTCTGGGCCGGCCGCCGTTCATGGCGCTCTCCCGGAGCCTCCTCTCGGCGTTCCCCCGTGCCATCTTGAGCTCCAGCAGGTGTACCTTCCTCTTCAGGGCCTTGTTCTCCCGCTGACACTGGGACATCTGCAGGCTCACCACCGCGTAGTCATCGTCCACCAGCTTGCAGATCTCAGCCACCGCCGCGTTAGCCAGCACCTCCATGATGGAGGCCAGCTGCGTCTGGAAGGCCAGTCGGCCCGACATCCTGCCGCGGAAGAGGGCTCTGAGGCGGGTAAGGAAATGCAAAAGAACCGTGAAAGTCCTCCGGAGGTGAAGACGTTCATGAATCTGTCAAATCACCACAGAAACATATTTAAAAAAAAACCAGAGGAGGGAAGACACGGCTAGACTAACGAAGCTACTCCTCCGTCTGTTCTCAAGCGGAAACTGCAAACATCTGACGTCACTTCCTGTGCTTCAGAACTTTGAAACGAATTGATAGTTTTGCTTTCAGGTAGGGGTGATGGAGGGGAATGATTTGTTGCCATTTTAGCTTGTTAAAGCCGATGTGCTTCCCTGTACTCAGTTGGTAGAGCGGAGGACTGTAGGATGATAAAAAAAGTTTTATGACTCCTCAAACGTTGACTTGAACTCATTACGACACTAGAGTGACCTCTGTCTCGAGAACTGCTTTGCTTCCTTTAAGGTCACATAATATGCAAAATAAACTTCTTACCATGTTTTTCTAACACCACATGTGTCCCTCGTCCGTCTACAAACCCCCCAATGATAAGAAAAGTCCATCCTCTCCGTCTTCTGCCTGCTCCACTTTTCAGAAAGTGTGTGCTCAAACAGGCTGTTTGGAGATTTTCCCTTCATGACATCACAAAGGGCAGTAGCCCCTCCCCCCAGGTGGGTGACACTCCCACAGCTAAGGGTTTTGTGGTATTTTCGAGAAAGCCAGAGCCACCCAAGCCCTTCCAGAGAGGGGGCGTGGTCACACAGCTCATTTGCATATTTAAAGGTACAGACACAGAAACAGCCTGTTCTGAGCAAGGCTGAAATAAAGGGGTTTATAGAGCGCCACGGGAATGAGTCCTAAAACCCGGAAGTAAGTCAGTATTTGAGCGCCACGGGGTCTAACGTCTAAAAGTCAACGGGGATTTTGAATATGTTTGTGGTTAGACGCCTGAAATAAGGTCTGTGGTGAACACAAGCTGGAGAGATTTTGACGTTTTGTTAGACCACATAAACTACATTAGGTAATACCTCCACTTGTGAATTTAGAAGTTTTTAGGTGTCTTTAAAAAGGCGGTTGCTAACAAGCGGCTAAATGTGACTACAGTGGTTGTCGGGGACATTAAAGGTCATCACGCCGGACACAGAGGGCGGGAACTCTCTCACTAGTCGGAGATGTCTCCTGTAGGTTTAATCTTTAGGTTAAGGTGAATATTATGTTAGTAAACTATTTATTAAGCTACGTGGATTAGTTTATCGGAGATCGTCTTGAAGCGTAACGCTAGTGACGTCACAATCATCCGACCGTGGCGTAGTTAGCTTGTAGCATAACGTTAGCTTTTTACTTCTGTCGGCCGCATTAACTCTTCAAACGTCATAAAAATGGCGTTCATCTGTGAAGATTATCCTGCTGAACAAAACGCCTACGCTTCAGAAACGTGCGTTTACCACAGAGCTTATTTTCTGCAGTGATCCAAAATCCAATGAAAACATCCCATAGGTGAATTCTCGTTAGACCCCCCATGGCGATGCTACTTCCAGGTTGGCCGACAAAAATACGTCATGTGGTTTGTTCTCAGAGTGGATTTAGAAAAAGAAACTTCACAGACATGTTTCTGGAGATCTCTGAGACTTATTTTAACTTGATGAAAAACGAACACGTGACCTCTAATATCAGAATTCCCGAACACGGTGACAACAGATTATATTTGACATTTTATTGACACAAGATGTGGTACTGTGACAATGACAAATCATTAACAACAGGGTTACAGCAATGATGCTTAACATATTCAAATTTCACTTAATGCTATTACAGCCGTCTCCATTCGTTCTGTATTGCTGCCAACAGATTTGGATATAATTCCATTTGTGGGAGTGCTTGCTTCTCTAAAACCATATGGCATCTACGATAGAACATAAAGTTGGGCAGTTAGTTTATAAATGAAGGGTTAAAATGAACAGTGGGCTCATGCAAGCACACATACGTCGTTGTTTTTTTTTCATACTTCACATGGGAAAATAGTGTCACCAACACACCATTATGATACATTGATAAGCCTTCTCTGTTGAATAGATAGAGACAAGGCATTTCATTCTCAAGAGAATACCAAAACATTTGAATTAGCTACACAAATGACACGATCACTTCTCTGTACTGTACTTAAGCAACTCTGGGCCTTAGGGCGGAGACACTCTATTGTCCTAGAGAACAAAACAACGCCAACATTAGAGGTTATACTGACACATGGGGCACTACAAGATACGCTTGGCATTTCATTTGCATGTGTGCTCGGTCCTGATACTGGTTGGCTGACTAGCCACAGGTTGAAAAAGATGGAATGAAAATCAGAAAAAAAATACAGTGGCATTAAGAAGAAGAGGTGAAAACATTTAAATCACATTACAGATTTAAAGCCGGGTCAAAGGAAACACACAAGAGGTAGATGCAAAATAAATAGGAATGACAATGTAGGATGTGTAAAGCGGTGTGCTTCGATGTTTGTTTTACTGAACTGATCTGTGAGAGAAGTAGAATCACTTGTGAAGTAAGTGTGCAATTCATTTAAAAGGAGTGGCACTGGTGTGTGAACAAATGAAGCTGCTGTAGTATGAATAGTGGTTCCACGGTAATTCAAACGTTCAAGATGAAAGTAAGGGCAAGAAAACTGTGAAGCAATAAAGAGCTGCGTCTTTGTTCTTTACCTGCAGTGTAGAACTAATTCACCGGTGGGGAAACAGCAATGACTTGCCAGGTTTGAGGAGTTACATTAAATGTTCTAGTGCTCTAACTTCTATTATCTCCTCTCTTTATTTCCTGCTTGTTTTTAAACTACTTTACTGTGTTTTATACTCGAGAAAAACAACATTTCTGTATGCAATCCTATGAAATAGAAGGAGCCTGGTTAAAGGCAGGAATGTCTGTGTATGTTTGTCAATGAAGGGTGCCTAATGGAAATGATAAGCTCAGGACACACTTCTTCTGAACATCGACTGACGGTTTTGAAACTTCACGCCCAATTACAGCAAAAGGAATTAATCGATACTTGTGTTATTATTCGGTTTGGTCAGCTAAAGGAAAGGGAGTTAAAAAAAAAAGAAAGAAATAAATCAAAGCCAAGCGAAGAGAGAGAGCAGCACACAGTACAAAGGACACAATGGCTTCATGGAAACTGTGACTTATTCCACGTCATCACATCTTTACAACATTAAGACACCAAGTTAAGGATGGAATGGTCGTTTCACCGGTAGTAAAATTGAAATGGAAGTAGAATAAAGGGATTCATTAACGCGTTAAACTGCCAAAAGAAAGGAAACTTCAACAAGATAGATGATCAGACGAAAAAAGGCCCCTACATTTTCATCTTTCTTTTTTTTTATACATATCTAGCTTTACTGTTTGGATTCCTTTGTTTTAGTAGTTGGCTGCAGGTGGCTGAAAACAATAAAACACTGCTATCTGACGTCAGGACGAAGCAGAGATGTTGAGTTAAACAGCAGGCAAGTTCTTCAGCACGGAGTCGTACGTCTGGTAGACGTACTGAGAAACCTCAGGGGCCCGACACTTCAGAGACAGCTGCGGAGTGAAGAGAGAAAAAACAGACTTACAACAGGAGTCATGCGCTCATAAATGTAAAGTCAATCTGAAGGATGCCATCTGAGGAGAATAAAATCTGTTTTAGAACGGGTTCACCGAGGAGAAACTACTTCTTACTTCATATTTGATTATTTTGACGTTATAGCCTTTCTAAAGAAAACCCAGAGATCACTTAAAGTCGTTTAAAGAATCACATGAATGTGTTTAACAAAATTATATCAAAGATGATTGGTTAGTTTGCAGCTGTTTTTTCTTTCCTGATTTTCTTCATCAACAAAAAATGAAGACAGCAAGCTGTGCAGAACATCAAATGACAACATGAAAACAATAAGTCGATTTATTTTAGATTCTACTGTAAAGAAAGTGACAAAAACTAGAAAATCAATAAATTGTTAAAGCCCAGTTTTAAGCAGTAACAATAAACATCATGATACTAGTTCTGGTGAACCAGATCAGCATCAACATCAGGATGCTCTTAGTTATAATCCTTCAAGTGCTTTGATAACTGTGGGAAATATTAGAGGTAATGCATGAACTCAACAAAAAATATAACATTTTTAGTACATTTTTAATCCATTAAGATATTTTAGTGTAAAAAAAAATTAAAAAAAAATCGACATATTACGTTTTTAAAAATGCAAATATTTTCATGGAGAAATTATAATCTGTAACATATACGATCATTTTCTGGCACCATCACAAACTGACCACAAGCCCAACATACCAATGCACTGAATTTAACTTTCTGAATACTCTACCGTGTAGTTGGGGTTGCCAGGTTGAATGCGGAGTTCAGCCAAGATCCAGATGCCATTGGTCAGCTTGAGTGACTGGTAGAGCATGTCCTGACCTTCTACGTTTCTCTTGGCGATGGTGTAGATGTTGTTATTCTGCAGCTTCCCTGATACTGTGTCTGCAGGACCAGAATTAACATTTACATGTCATCCACTTTGTGCCACCACTTAGTAACTAAAACAGAGGAACCACACTAAAAACAGACACGACAGGCTGTAATCACTATGAATACTAACACCAATATTCACATAGTCTAATGCCAACTAAAGGCAGAAAGGGGTTTTAGGGAATTAAAGGTAACATAGCTCTAAGAGGATCCTACTGAACTGAGGCGGTAACCTTATGAAAAGGTTTTTGTAAAACACTGGGGAACCTTCAAAAAGAAACACGGGGTTGTCAGCCGTCCTGCTGCCACGATGATATTGGCACAAATAAACACAAGTTGGAGGCGTCGCTCTTTTACAGAGAAAGAGGAAATGTTGAAGCATCCAAAGTTAGGCATGCAGATGGGGGAGAGAAAACAGGAAAAAGTGTAAGAGCTTTTGAAGAGTTGGCTCTAATCGTCCTGCAGGATTTGTGGGGAAGGTCTTTAGGTCTCTGGATGGGTATTCTGGCCAGGGCTGAGTGTACGCACTTTGAGGGCTGCCAAGGCTTTTTGAAAAGCAACAAATGGGTGTAACATGTTATTTAATTAACGATGATCCCTGCTGTCTGAGGAGGAGCACTGATGTTAAATGTGTTTTTTATTACAGCCACTCACATGTTTGTCTTTTGCTCTCAGCACATTTCTTCATAAATGCACATCAGGAGCTTTTAAATAATTGTATGTTTTGCAAGAAAATTGACTTTTGATAGTGCTGGTTCTCTCCTATTGTCATTGTACAGGACTGTTGCCATGGCAAACTCAACCAGTCAGCAGGTGTCAGGTTTTATACTGCATAGTTAGGTTTCCTGTAAAGAACTCAAACAGTTTGCTCAAATGAAACGACACAGTTAGAAAAAGGCACAGATCCTAACAGACAGTTGCATTCAGTAAGCAAAACACCACTTTAAATTAATGAAGACACAAAGTTTCAGCAATTAATATAAATACATTTTATGGCATTCTTCTAAAAACAAAAGATTTAGAGGAGAAAGAAAATTTAACTCACAAATAAAGTTATCATTGACTTTACTTTCCACAAGGGACATGAGAAAAATAACTGCTTACTTAAAGCCGGCTGTGTTGGCTTGTTTTAGTACGTACCTGCGTTTAGGTGACAATCCTTTATCTGGTACTGTAGCTCATTCTCATTGGGAATGTCTTTCCAGGTAGCCAAGAACACCTGTCGCTCTGAAGAAAGCAAACACACCAGCTTATCAATATTCAGAATCTAAGAGCAGAAAATAGATTTTCTCCACAGTCTTTAAACTAAATATCTTCCTCGCTCATCCTCTCAACCGACGCAGCCAAAAGACTTCGCCTTGTTTTGCTGAATTTAGCAAAAACACTGGTGCTATTCCATCTTAAACTCTGCGTTAAAAGATTAAATGTAAACCATTTCTAATCCAATGTAAGAATTTAAAAAACAACTCTCTCCTAGTATAATTAATTTCTGCTTTAAGGAATAATATGCAACATTTTCAAAATAAATCCATCAGCTACTAAGAGTTATGAGTTTCTATAAAAGTAAGTCAAACTCCTCAGGGTTTGTTTTTCTTGAATCTGATTTAGTTTGTCAGACGCTAACAAATCTTATCTATAAATGATTATTTCACTTGAACCCCTCCCACTCGGATCCACCGAGTGGGAGGGGTGATGTGGTGCTGTGAGGGAGTTTGTTTTGGTCTGAGAGAGACTGGTGCTAAAGTCACATGTTAAACTTCAAAACGGTTGTGGAGAATATTATTTGTCATATATGTTACTGTGTGATAGTGTTGGTGTGAAGAGAGCTGTGACGCTGTTTTATAAAGTTGTGAGAAACATTCATACCCATTTTTCCATCCTCAACAAAGAATATATTGAGAGGGATGAGTACGCTGAAGTAGAAGACATCGATACTGTTCTTTACAGCCACCTGTGGACACCAACACAAAGGAGAAGGTGGGCATGACATTGACTTCTCTGATTGTCGTGTAAACTTAAGATATGTTGGGTTTTTACATTTCTGGCATATTACTCTGTCAACTGAGATTACACACGTCACAAATTCACAATGTATTTGATCTGTCTACTCAGGAAAAAATGTTTTACTGACATAGATTAGTGAACTAAAGTGTTGTTAGAATTGACTACCAGGTGTAACAAATTGAGATGTTCTGTACCTGCAGATTATTAAGTGGGTCCATCTTCATGACTGGCCCAATGGTGTTGATCGGCAAAGAGACGTCGATCGTCTGGCTGGGCATCAGTGGAGTGTGAATGGGCAGAGGACTGGTAGGAATCATACCAAAACTACACCAAAGAAACAAACAAGCACACTAAAATAAATCTACTGTTTCTGAGAGAACGTGAAGGTAGTTAAAGACATCTTTTCCACTTAGTTATCTCATCGACCTGTTCTTGTTGAACTGGACAGCGAAGTCGGTCATGTGCTGCAGGGCCTTGTTGGTGAAGGTCATGTCCATGTACATGTGGCCTTGGCGGCGAGAGAAGGTTCCGGAAATCTCCAGTCCTTTGGCTTTAACTGCAGGCAGCCACACCTGGTGAAGGAAGTACCGGTGAGAGATGGTCCAGTAAACTTTTTTACCCCACATGTAGTCACGCGGCCATGTTGCAATGCAATGTCACCTAAAATATTTGTGAAAGCATGCACTCAACTTTTTAGAATTTTAAAAGAATCGACCACTGAATTGCAAAAAAGAGAAAATAAAAAATATATATAAATATTTTTTTAAGATTTAGTTTGAAGTCTTTTTATGACCTTTATTTTCGAGACAGGACGGTGGATAGTCAGAAACCAGGGAGAGAGAGAGAGAGAGAGAGAGAGAGAGAGAGAGAGAGAGAGAGAGAGAGAGAGAGAGAGAGAGAGAGAGAGAGAGAGAGAGAGAGAGAGAGAGAGAGATATAGAGAGAGAGAGAGATATAGAGATATAGAGAGAGAGACAGAGAGACAGGGAGGGAGAGAGAGAGAGAGAGAGAGAGACAGAGAGAGAGATATAGAGAGAGAGATATAGAGAGAGAGAGAGAGAGAGAGAGAGAGAGAGAGAGAGAGAGAGAGAAGGGGAAATGACATGCTGGAAAGGGGCCACAGGTCGGACCTGAGCCAGGGCCGCCCACCTTGAGGAAAACAGCCTCCGCACATGGGGCGTGCACACTAACCACTAGGCTACCAGCGCCCCATATAAATATTTTTTGTTGTAACCTTACCCTATCCTTTTTTCCATGATTATAAGATCTGGTGTGGTGCTTCAGTAAAATAAATAAAAAACATGCACATCCCTCAGCGGGTGCTGGATCTAAAAACCACAAATAAGTAAGGAAAGCAAGTCTTAGAAAGAGCATGTTGGCTCGAAACATCACTTAAATAAATCCTTCAAACGTCAGCTTCTCAGTGTGCGGATCTCGTTTTGCTTTCCTTACCGTAGTGCTTAAGTATTCAGTGAACCCTCAAACGCAGGAATCAATAACTGAAAGTGGATTTAGAGTTAATCTTCTTACTGATGCAGCCGTTTATAGATTTCTTGTGACTTCTTCTTACTTACTCACTTATCATACTTGCTTTCATGCAGACCACTTACCTGTAATGATTGTATACAGACAAAGCTTTTCTTCTTTATAAACTGCTGCTTTTATCAGCGAAACGCCATGTATCAAATGAACTCTAGACTACTAGCTGAGACTTGATTTAAGTGAACTCACTGCCTTCGGGGTGATGAAGCCTCCACCGGTGATGGCCATGCCTGTGGAGAGCTCAAACAGGTCGTTGAGGCCGCTGCTGACGGCCGGAGGAGCAGGTGTGGGTGAAGGAGCAAAAGTACTGGGGACAGATGAGGGGATGAAGTTCTGTCCCACCTGGGCCAATCACAATGAAAACACACACACACAAAAAAGTAAGTGACCAATATTTACATAAGCATCAATGACAAATTATTTTCTAACCTACAAACAGAATCACACAGACAATCTAAAGGCATGCCAAAGGAACAGACAACTAACGGCACTCTTTAACGAGGAGAGAAAAACAACATGTGAACGACAGCGACATTATGATAAAGCCTTTATGACGGGGAAAGAGAGAAGCTCAGTCGTGGGGTGAGAACTTTCAGGGATCTGGTGTTTATGAGCATTTACTTAGAAGTTATAAAGAGCATACATTAGGGCTGGGCGATATGACCTCAAATCAATATCATGATTAATTGAACATTTGACCTCGATTACGATTAATGAACGATTATCTTGTTTTGTTTTTTTGCCCTCATAGTTCACTGACATGGTCTCTACTGTAAATAAGTTCAACTATTAAAGCTGGGATATGTTTTCTAATGAGAGAGTTCATATCTGATTCATTATTTTATAAGTAATTATATATAAGTTATTTATTGAACAATTTGAACTGAAATCAAAGAATCACTTGAAATGAAAACGACACATTTTAGTTTTAAAGTAGAAATTAACTTCTCTAAAACAGTAGAAAATAAATTATTTGCATTTCTTGCACGTGTTTGACTTCTTTTTGTTCAGTGTCATCTTCCCTAAAGACAAAATGTGACTAAACGACCGACGTCTTGTGAATCTGTACTTAAAATAATCTAAAAATTCTAAATGGGCAAGATCACATCGGTTAGAGGTTCTGAATGTCGGTTTCCATTAATTGCCCAGCCCTAGCATACATCGAATCAGATATGAGTAAAGTTATATCAAAATCTTTAATTTTCCATTAAGTAGTCGTAATCATTGATTTGCAGTTTTGCGTTCACTGTCCTCAAATAACAAAGAAGAATAAAAATGAACAGTTACTATTCTGGAAACAGGGGCGCAAAATCTAAGAATGTAGCCAAATCTTTAGTACAATCAGTCTCATGGTAGATTGTTGCCCATCCCTCTAACGGACCAATCAGCAAAGTTTACACAAGAAAAATGACGGACTTCCTACATTAGTTCCTTTTCAGTTTCTGGCTCAATTTGGTGTAAAGTGAACAACAGTGGTTCTGTTTTTGTTTAATCTGCCTATGATTCATTTAAAAGATTGTAAGTGCGCTTAAAGCAAGTTAAAACATCAATCCTGACAAAAATCAGTGCCAGTTAAATCGGGGTGGGTGACTTCTCCCGGTCAGAAAATGGAATAAAACATGCAAACATAACTACATGGTGGTTAACACCTGAGTGTGAGACAAACAAGCCAGGTTTACAAACGTGGTGTTAACTTAAGAGGTTCGGCTGGTTTGAGTGTGTGATGGGTTAAATTCAGAAAGCATGCAGACAGGCAGACCGCCAAACACAAGGGCTGGACTTACTGCTGGACTTCCCCCAACACCTCCGCCCAGGTCTCCCCCCAGCTACAGGAGAGAAGAGAGGCCCCCAAAGACCGCATCACAGACAGACCAAAACACACAAACAAAGACAGAGACAGAGACTTTCTTAGCAACCGCAACCCATCAAGAGGAACCCTCACTTTGTGGGAAAATAGCAGCGTCACATGTTAAGTCAGACATGGAATAATAAGACCTTAAAAATCTGCAAGAAGGTTATGAAGAGGTCCAGTTATTCCAGCGGCTTGAAGAAGTGAAAGGCAACCGTTGACCGTGTAAGAACACAAAAAGCCTTCAAAAGGTTTTCAATATTTTTAAGCAGTTTAAAACATTTAAGAGATGTAATGGAAGTTTGTTATTTTGTTTAATAAAACGTTAAAATGCTCAAACAGCAAAGACAGCAGAATGTGCAGCAAGTCTTTGAAATGGAAGAAATGTATAATAATGTCGAAGCACGTCCCCCTTTATGAGAAAATAATACTGTTCTCTGTCCTCTCACTATGACCCAATCTTACACGCTTCTAACCATTAAATAACCATGAGACATCCTCAAATTAATTACAGATAAACTGTGTTCAGAATGCTGCAGAATACAGAGTTTAAAATCTGAGACCAATTATTGGTTGACCCAATCTGAAGATTCAAGGATGAGTCTGTCATTATTCTATTTTCTGTGTTTTTCTGGTACCTCATCCCTCTTGTTTCCCACCCACAGGGACATTTCAGCCTTTTAAATGGAAATCCTGTTTGTTTAATTACACCTCTGCTCTGCTGCAATCAAATTATCATCCAATGGACATGCCCCAACAAACCATGTTTCCGACCTGGTCCGTCCCATCGGTAAGCTGAGAGGAGTCTGAAGCCCCGTTAGGCTTCTCCTTCCTCTCTAAGGGGAATTGAATGTGCATGTGGGCGTGTCAGTGCGCGATCAAGCTCACCAAGCTGTCCAGGCCCCCTCCCAGAAGGTCAACTGCACCCATTTGCATGGAGGAGACCTGGGGCACATTGACTGGTGGGCCCAGGTCCAGGTTCAGCAGGTCACCCAGCAGGTCACCCTGGCTGGGGATCACATGTGGCTGATCGATGGCAGCTGCTGGCCCGCCGCTCACTGGGCTCTCCCCAGTATCGATGCTGTCAAAGGAGAAAGCAGAAGCACCGGTGAGGCTGCAGGTTCTGATGTGGAAAATCGACATATTCAAACGTTGTGCCCCTTGATGGGTCCTACCTGCTGTGCTGCACAGGAAGGTGCTTCCGGTGGATTCCGTGGCTGCCCTCAACAAAAGCGCTGGGAGGTTTGTGATAGACGGAGGCCAGGGAGCCGATATGGCAGATGAGCTCGTCCAGTAGGGTGGGCTCGATCAGGTCTGTCTCCTCTGAGATCAGGGGCTTCTCTGACAGCACCACCTCCTTGGCAGTCACGGGGTCGGTGGACAGCAGACGCCAGTAGATGTAGCCTCTATCACGCAGGTCAGGGTTGTCAGAGTCCTGCACAAGAGCAGAAAGTTACACACAGGCACTGTAAGTTCGATTTTTTGTTTGTTTCCCATTACACCTAATGACTAGTTGCTAAGAGGTGTCCAAATAAAGGAAGCAAAAAAAACTTTAAAAGGCGACAGAGAGCTTTGTTTCTAACATGTTCCTGTAGCTTTACACAAAAACTCAATCGGACAACTGCATTGAAGGAATAAAATATCTGACTTTAAACTGAAGCTTTTTCTAAAAAGAAGAAGAAAGGGCCAGCAGATAATCTTGCCGTCATGTTGCCCGCCTCATGTTTTGAGGTTATACTCCTCGTCGCAGCGGTTGTGTATTCAAATCTGACCTCAGGCCCCTTGCTGCATGTCATCCCCCACTCTCTCCTCCCAACATTTCCTGTCTCTCTTCAGCTCTCCTGTCTAATAAAAGGCAACAATGGCCCTAAAAATAACAAAAAAAAGAAGACAGTCACCTGAGTGGCCAGGCTGAGAACCTGCTGCACCAGCTCCTGAGTCTCTGACGGCTTCTTAAGGAACAGCTTGACAATGGCGGTCAGCAGAGTGAGCTGGACCTGGAAATCAGAGCACACACTTTTAGTCAACATGTTATTATATTATTGTCTCATTGTAAAGTGCCCTTCGTAGTCTGTGAGAGGTGGACACAAGTTACATTTGAAAACAGCTTTTCTGACCAACCCACCTGAGTGCTCTCATCATGGAAGCCCTCGAGGAAGCTCTCCAGCAGCTCGTCAGCGTTGTCGATCCTCTCAGCGTACTCTCCAACAATCCAAATCATGGCAGCACGAGCATCCGGCTCATCGAGGGAGTCCAGATTCTCACACAATGTGGCAATGATGCTCTCATACCTGAATAACAGCAGTAAGTGGTCAGAATGAATGCAGGTCAAAGCAAAAACATGACCATGAAGAAAACCTCATGTGTATCAGACAACATGGAAATGACCCAGCATCTGAATAATCCTGGATGGATTATGAAAACCATCAACCATATCCAGGACTAGAACATGTGTCACCACTTATTTAACAGTTCTCAGCGGTTCAGAGGGAAACATACTTGTTGGGATATTTGCGGAAGATGTCCCTGATGACCACAATCGCCTCCTGAACAACATAGTTGACCTTGGTCTGGATCAGGTCCAGCAGGGTGCTGACACAGCGCTCGGCTGATTGCTGAAGAGGGAACAGGAAAGAGGCGCAGTGTCAACACTACTCTTAGTAAGGTCATAATAGCTCACACCACATCTTGTTTGCATTGGCCCAAAGTATTGTTAGATTAGGCGTCATGTGCGATAGCGGTCTCCTCTTTCAGAGTACGGATGAATTCTTTAAGCAAAGACTGAGTGAGCTGTTTGTTATTTATAATAGTCTCGTGGTCATGATTCTCACATCAGCTACGGTTTTATTTCTCACCTCCACTTTGATGGCACAGCGTCCGATAGCTCGCACAGCCTTGCGCACAAAGTCAACGTCCACCTCTGTTGCATATTCCTTCAGTTCAGCCAGCACCTGAGAATGAGAGAAAACAGCAGCTCACACATGTGTTGTCTTTCAGCCTGTGAGTGTGTTTTGCATGAATCATTAACAAAGTGTAAAAACAGAACTTCCCTTTCCGGGGATCAATAAAGTAAATCTTCTTCTTTTTATTAACACTTGACAACAATAAACAAATCTGGTTCACTTCAACACTGTCTGTATAGTGTTTCAGAAACACCCTGCTTCTCTTTAACCCAGACATTTTATATATTTTACTCCTTCCAACCTCCCTCTATGCACATGACAAGACTCATGTCTTAATAGTATTAATCTGAATTGTTTAATGACAGAGGAAAGCCCAGTAGCACAACTATCCTCCCAACAAGTTCTGCATGTTGTGTTTAAGGTACCTGAGCAATGTTGGCTTGAGAGGCCAAGCGAATCATGATGTCCAGTTTCTCCAGTTTCACATAGATCGGGTCGTTGTACTTGACGAAGAACACCTTGATCTCCTGCTTCAGGATCTCCGGCCTGCACAAAAAGCATTTAAAACATTCACGCTGTAGCTCGACAGGAAAGTGTGTAAATATAGATATTTATTTCTATAAATAGAAACGCAAATCTAGAATATACTGAAATGCCTTAATTCATTTGTTTACATTTTCTCTAACAGGATTAAAAAAAAGGAACTGCAAGACATTGAGTATGTGATATTAAAATAATACTTGTAACATTATGAAGTTTACTGCAGGCAAAACAACAACATGAGCACGCACCTCTTCTGGACGATGAGGTTGATGTTCCTCAGAGCCACATACTGGACCTCAGGCTCTCCGGAGAGCAAGGTGACCAGCGGTGGGGATAACTTCTTAAGCAGGGTGTTGTAGTAGTCGGAGTCCTTGGGCAGCAGCTCTAAGAACTTCATCAGCACCTTCACAGCCGACAGCACCACGGCCGAGTTGGCGTGAGACAGCCGGGGAGTGACACGCTCACAGATGCTGAGAAAGGAGAGGAGGCAAAAGTAAAGAATCGGCCGGGTGTCATTATTCTGAATCAAGTAGGAGCGTCATAACTCAAAAAAAGAAAAGAGTATTGTTTGACTGCTGTTTGAGCTTTTATCGTTCATTTTCAGTATCAAGAATTAACAAGTAAAAAAAAAAAAAAAACCTCTTTTGTTAAACAATTCAATGTGCATATTTTTTATGTCACAAGGTCCCCGATTCAAGTCTGGGTAGGGATTTTCCTCTCTACAGGTGCACGAAAATCAAGTCATTAAATCTTTAAACGCTAATAAATGAAGACTTTAGACTTCACTTTATTGTCTCCAAGGGGAAATTCTTTTCCACTTCACAGCACAGTTATGGACAGCACGCCGACAGATAATCACAGATGGACAAACACAACAAGATAACATGCATACAGATATATAGACAGAGTGGGACTGGGGTGTTTTTATTTTTGGCCTTTTGTTGAGGGCTGCTATGGCTGCAGGCACCAGGCTTTTGCCATATCGAGCCCTCCTGCACAACAGGGACCCGTACCTGCGTCCAGAGGGCATAATGGTGAAGTGGCAGTTGAGTGGGTGCGTGTTGTCCGGTGCTATTGTAAGTGCGATGCGTGAGATGGCCTTGAGATTGAGCTCTGACAGTGTGGGTGTGGGGAGACCAATTCATTTGGCAGCTATGTTTGTGACATGTGTGAGTTTGACCTGGTTTTCGACAGTGAGCATGTTAAAGAAGCAAGTGGAACAGTAGAGCAGGATGGGCTGGACAATACTTTGATACAATAGCAGGAGGAGATGGGGGGCGGGGGGGTCCTTTGAAATGCCTACTTTTCTCTTTCCTTAGGGAAAAATCTATCAAGGAAGTTATATCTGTGATCTGGAGATATTTTCTCCAAGCCTTCACAGTTTCAAATTCTTTTATAGCTGTCTCTTAAAGGAACAGCGTCAAGTCTGGATTATAACATTGGTAAGATTAGAGAGCTGACAGGGCAAGACAAAGTTTATACTATAGCTCTAAATTATTTTGGAAGTAACTGAAGGAACATTATAGCAGTGTGATCAGGAATAAATAAAATAGTTAGGTTGTCTTTAAAGAGTCAGGGGCATTAAAGGAAAGTGAGTGTCTCTTCTATCATCATTCATTCATGATCAATCAGAACGAGCCTACATCCCAAACTTCAGTCACACAGTGAGAACTACCTCTGGGCCTCACGCTCATCCTTGGGATTGTAGTTAGACAAGCAGTCCAGGATGAAGATCTGTCCCCACTCTGTGCACTCGTTGAGAGCCGTCAGCAGCTTGTTGATGTTCTGGGGATTGAGATCCAGCAGGTTGCTGTTGGGGTGAGACTCACTGATCTCAGACAGGGCGGCGACTGCATTGGCCACAACCTGAAGGACAGAGGGCGTTGTGTGAGGAAAACCTTGGAAGGGAAACTCTGAAGCTGTTGGATATCAGAAGACATAGTTCGATATACCCAACAGTGTTTTGTTTAAGTTAAAGAGCTTATTATCGGAAGAAAAGCCTGACATAACCAAACTATCCCTTTAATACCGAAGCTACAGCAGGCAACACTATTTCATTAGAACTGTGGTTAACTTAACAAATGTTGATCATTACATGTCACTATATTTAACTAAAATGCTCCTTTGAATGAAAATGTGTCTGATCCGTGTCTCTGAGCTCACGCCTCTTTGTATTTAGTTCTTTGAAAGAAGTCATCCGGTGGGAAACAAACAACCACTCAGGGTTAGCTTGTTTGCACATAATAAGCCAATCACAGCAACTCTGAGCAAACTAGCATCATCCAGCTTCTACATGACTTGTGTCGGCAGCTTCCTCTCTCTCTCTGAGAGCACAACGTCTGTGTAGACTGACTTTTCTGGAAGCTATGTTACTTGAATATCCCTGAGCTGTTAAGATATCGTCATCTCTATGTTGCTCAGAGCGCTCACACTAGTCAAACAAACTGGACTTTGAGGGTGAAGCGTTCTTAAGCATGGCACGGACTGTCTAGTGTGAGTGCACCCTAAAACACTTCAGCATCATCTTATCCCATTTATTGACAGTTTTGTTATTCGTTTTTTTACCTTATTGCACTGGATTGTGTTGAATCTAAATCAAAAAGCTGTTTCACTGATTGGTTTTGGCACGAACGAAACACTAAAAGAAGAAACTGAGACCTACCATGGGATTTGAGTCAGCGATGAGATCTCTCAGAGAGTCCAGGAAGCCCTGGTCTTCTACCATCTGGGCGTTAATGTCGTGAAGTTTAGCCACACAAACAGCTGCCGTCTTCCTCACGTATGGATCCTCATCCTTCAGGCACTTCCTGAGCGGCTCACACAGATACTCAGTGATCTTGTCTACCCGGATGCAGCCCATGGTGCGGACGGCCAGAGCTCGGATCAGAGGGTTGGGGTCTTCACAGTCCTGAAGAGCAAGACCAGACAGTCAGTTTATTATTTCATTGAGACCTTTTACTGGATTTGTATAAATATCTATAACTCAGTTAGAGCAATTGCCACATCTTAAATGCATTCTTTATGTGTTCAGCATCATTTTTCATCTAATTAATGATCAATGACAGTCTCTTCTTTTATGTGTAATTTGTTGTAGTCACATTTTTTTTTACAGTGGATTCATATATCAATATAAAAAAATTCTAAGAGTTGAAAAAAACAAATCGAGTTCATTTGGGGCCTTGCCTTGACAAAGCTGTTGACGGCCATGATGGCCATGTCCGGCTGGCTCTTGGCGTAGTTCATCAAATAGAGATAGACCAGCTTCTTCAGCTCCAGGTTGTCGGTCTGCATGCAGTTCACCACATCTGGGAACAAAGAGCTGGAAGCACCGCAAGAGGTTTTTGTCAGACTCAAGAGTATTATGTTTCAAGGATCTTTTCTTCATCTTAGTGTTACATAAATTAATTCACAAAGTCGGCCTAATGGCCATTATAATCTATTATCAGAAGTGTGGTTCAGAAGGTCTGAAAATGGAAAAAGGAGTACGCTTCTTATTTGGGTTTTCAAAATTGATGCCTGATTTTAAAAGCTATTTCTGCATTCCTTACTTTCCTTTTCACAACACTGTGTTGACTTAACAATTAACTGCTAATGCTTTAGCACAGAGTTCTTGCTTATTTTTCCACTGCATTGACCAATCAAAATAATTCCAGGAGCTGAGTCACTACAGTAGCCACAAAGATTACAATTTTTCAAGAATAAACCGGTGCTAAAAAGTATGAAGAAAAACAATATCAGATGAGCAATTCCTCATAGGTTGGCCTCATTTTGATCTGCTGGACATGGTTAATGATTCAGATCACTGACTGGTTGATGTCAGAGTTTAAATGTGTGAGTGTTACCTGACATCCTTGCCAACAGTCATGGCAGCGATGACCTTCTTCACTGCCTCTTTTCTCTTCTCCTTCTTCTCATTGTTCAGCTCTGCCTTCAGTTCAAAGATCTCCCCTGCGAGACGAATCACACAGCACATTGACAGCGGCACAAACTGAAGAAATTTGATTTTGACTTCAAGAAATTCAAAGAAATAGAACGTTTAAGGATTCAATTATTCATTCAGCACTCAGCTACACCAGCTCTTTCCTTGCTCACCTTTTTTGTTCGTCGTGAAATATTTGGAATCCGTCATGATTGCGGTCCTTTAAGCCTGTGCAGAGGAAATACACTGCATTATTTGAAACATTCATGTGTTAATAATAATAATAATAACTTTATTTATATAGCACCTTTTAAAACACAGGATTACAAAGTGCTTTGACAAACAGCAAAAACAAGAACAAACTAAACCAAACACAGAAGAACATAAACAACAGCAAGAACATAACAATTGCAAAATACTAAAAATAATGAACCGCTCCAGAAGAAACACGCACAGTGACACCTCGACTTTCACAATCATGGTGCACATCAGAAAACACAGAGCAATCTGTACAGACAAACATGCACAGAAAAATGGTTTATACTGAAGAGCTCAATGTCTTTCAATGGGTCACTATTACAGAGTTTTTGGAGAGTGACATTTATCCCATGAGACAGTCTGTTGGATTGGGAGTAACAACCACTCTCTCCCTCTGAATTGGTAGGAAATGCAAGCTTGCAGTACCAGACCGCCAAGTAGTGCATATGATTTATATTCAAATACTAGGTTGCAACACTCTGACAAGTTCCAAACTGTAGGAAGGAGTGTCAGCACTTTTTATCTGCAGCTTTATGACATGGTTCACACACGAGTTCATGGTGGGAGTGGTGAAAAGCACAGACTGAAGAGCGTCTGCATAAACAAAAGGAGCATAACATGATATTTTGCTTCCAGCTGAATAAACAAGTATCAGGAAAGAAATGTTTTTCCAAGTCTAATGTGGAAGAACATGACTGAACCGGTAAAAGGTTCTGATCTCATCCCCACTCAACATCTTTGGGATAACCAAAACCTCCAGCTGTATCATCCAACATCTGGTCCAACCTCACAGACACTGCTGTGACTCGGTAACCCTTTGCAGTTCCACAATGTTTTGCGTCGCTTGTCAGATAAAATGCGAAGGACCTGTGTCATCGATATCTCACCCAGTTTCTATGCTCCTTATATCTGGAACAAAGATATAAAGATATATAATTAAACAATTTTAATAAGGTTTTAAATTTTAACTCTGCACTTTAACTTTTATTATATATTTTTAATTTATTTATTTCAATTAATTTCATTTGAATTATTTTTATTTGAACATATTTTTCAGATGTAATAATTCCCATGATTTTTTTTTATTATTATATTTATTATTGTATTTTGTATTTTTTTATGTTCTATTTTAATGTTTATTTTCTTACCTCTGTCATGCTGCTTTTTGATGTCTTGTGTGAAGCACTTTGAATTGCCTTGTTGTTTAAAAGGTGCTGTAGAAATAAACTTGCCTGACGTTTTAAAATTCCTTCGCTAAAATATGCAACTGAACGCATCTTAACGTAAACACAGATAGCTTGTTAGCACTGCGTCTTAACATCATCACACCTTTCCTTGTTGAATAACAGCTAAGTTTAGCCCTTATTAGTCATGACAGGTGCATTCCTGGGCTGGTTGTGATACAGTTTGGCCTCTTTTAAAAGGATTAAATCGCAGCATAGCGGGTTTCCCCTTCAGCCTTTAACAGTGTCGTTAGCCTGCTGCATGCTAACATTAAATGCACCCGGCGGCTCAATGAAAACCGATAAAGTCACTTCTACTCCTCAGCGGGGGGGAAACAAACAAACGTGCAATTTCCAGCATCGGCAAGGCAGCTAGATCTGCACAAGTTACCGGTTGGAGTTTTAATATTAAAGCATTAAATCTGACATTAAATCAGATGAGTGATCAGCGGCCCAGTTTTCTCTGCTGCCGACAGGATGTTCAGTCTGCGATCAGCTGGCCGATAAACACCAGAAACACATAAATACAGACATCATGTTGGGACACATTTAGAAAGGTTAAGTATTTCAGATACCTTGTGGAGTGTAAGTCAGCGGGAAAAGTGTCCAGTGGGTGCAAGACGCAGGTTTGGTCCTTTGCCTTGTTGGAGGAAGATGGAGAATCTGGATCGTAATGGTACGTTCACGGTCATAGGAACCTGGACAACTTCCCTCCTGAGGCGAGACCCTTATAAAGTTTTTGCATTGAAAGATCATTTGTAGATCATGTATTTTCTGGTTGCAACAACTCAGTACGACGGAGCTTTCTCCTTCTCCACGGTAATAGTTTGTATTTCTGTGGTTGGGATCCGCACATAGCTTACAATGCATCATTTATGTATTTATGTGCTGCAAGGTCACCGGGGGAAATGACACCGCCCATGATGGGACTTTGTGGGGATGATGTGGACGGATTCATCGATTTCAATGTAATGAAGGTACACTGGTAAAATAGAAAAGCGCACCTCCTCCGGTCCAAACTGAGACTGTGTTGTCCGTTTATATGATTAGTATAAGGCGGGACTACTTACCGTTCTACAATTTCCTACAGTCATGAATGTAACACACGAAAGGGACTCTTGCCAGAGATGTCAAAATGATATCCTGCGTGTCAGTGAAACTACAATAATGAAGTGTCTGATTGTCCACTTGGCTACTAGCTATCTGCTTCTTATATAGGAAATACTCAGACTGTATATGTTAAATCACCCAGAACCTAAAACACAACAATAATACTTCAGTGTGAGTCTGTCAGGTTTTCTGTTTATTATAGTAACTTTAAAAAATCCTGTCTGTTCTGTGGTAAACATTCAGGAGGAAACATTTTTAATATTTCTATGCAAAACCTACAAGGCAAGTATTCTGTTTAGAATTTTAATGACATCTCCAATTTACATTTAAGTGAAAAAACAACTTTATACTGAGCAAAAATGATTAATATGCCTAAAAATACCAATATGAAAGACAGAAATTAAACTCTAAAAAAAAAAAAATGTTCCTCAATGTTTACAGGCATTACAGTTTCTAACAGAATAAATTTGTCTAGAATAATAATCTTAGTCAAATAGACTTCATACATCCAACACAATTTGTGGTGATGCCACACATAGAAGGCATAGCTTTTCTCTTTTTCTTTACTGTAAAAAAAAAAAAAAGATCAACCCTCCAAACATGTAAACTGTCTTTACATAAAAAAAATACTGTAATTCTTCTGTCCGACTCTAACAGTACGTTCTGTCTACTGTTATCAGCCAAACGTGGTAAATGTGCACATTTTGATTAAAGGCAAACTCAGTGTCTCTTGTAATGTCGCCTCTTTTCTTAACCCTTAATTGGCTGTTTTCAGGTGTTTTTAAACGACTTTCTCGTTTATGCCGATGATTCAATCTGGAGTTGGGAGGTGGCGTTGATCAGGTCTCTAGGAAGACCTTCTCTGGCATCTTGCATCTTTTTCCTGGCTCTCTGGAAGGCCTCTGACGGAGAGAGAAAAAAATCAAATAAACACAATTAAAAGTAGATCGCATATACAGTATATATATATATCTATATTTTCCTCTTTAAACTTCATTAGTTTTTATGTTTGTTTAGTCTTTGGTTTGGATAAAAGCGTCTGCTAAGTGAATTGTAGTCATTTCTGGCAAATTGTCCAAAATAAAAGTGATTCTGACCACCATTGTTTATATATTATTTAGACTCCACTGTCCATAATGCAAGGAAAGCTAATTATTTTTATTAATGTTGATCTGTTGCTGCGATCAAAGAGAGTTTATTGGCGATGCTCTTTGCTCAAAAGAAAGATCAACATTTTAAATATAATGGGTTTTATGAGATTGAACAAACTTGTGTCCAGTAACATATCAAGCATGCTTTCAAGTACTTTTTTAAAACAATGTTTGTTAAAACAGCTTTAATGAGTTTAAATTTAGTTTTAATTGAATGTCTTTACCCAGGATGGTACAAACAGCTCCTTGCTGACTGAATCCTCCCAGCTGATCAAACACTCTCTGCCTCCTCTTTTTCAACATGGTGGCATCGACAAAGGCCCTGAAATGTACACAACACGTACATAAACAACTACTGTGTAGAAAATCAAAACATGTAATAGTGTGATATTTGCTACTGATTAATAAAACATTAAGAAACACACACACACACACTTTTGATTTTCTATAAATTCTCCTTTACACTTACAGCCACTGTGGACATTGACAGAAACACCTGGCCCACACTTTTCAGTCAAACAGCTCTTACCTGGCTTGCTGGATGCAGTGCAGGTTAAAGGTGACACTTCCTGTGGTTTCTGTTGTAAAGCCAAAGCGACTCAGCCGCTCTCCCTGCAGCCACACATGAAAGTGGAAGAATAAGAAAAACGTTCTGTCTTGTTATTGGAAAAAACATGGACTTTAAAAATCCAGTTTCCAAAATAATTGGTAAAGTAATTTGCTCATAAGGAAACGTGTACCAAAAAACACAAATGTTTTGCATCTTTTGGATTAACTGAATTTAAGAAGAAACATGTACATTTTCTTAAAAACTCCACGGGTACTTCTAAATACCATCTAATAATATGATATAAAACTGTTTATTTTAAGGAATTATAAATGACATGGTGTAATTTTAGTCGCTGAGGAGTGATCCTATTTGGACTTCCTATAAAGTGTTGCCTACATGCAGATATATTTTTAAATTATTCGCTAAAAACGTTAATATAAAAAAACTTTGAAATTGTTCATATCCATTCATTTACCAAGACTTTCCACAAAGGTTCAAAGCTACCTTGAATGTCCCTGGTATCCTGACGTAGCTGTGGTCTTCAAGCTCTGGAGAACCTCCGATAAAGAATCGCCTCAGAGCAGAGACGGTTCCTGTCTGAAGGGGTCTCCATGTATGGCATGTTAGTGTATGTTTACCTGGAACACAAAAAAAACATAGAAAACAAGACCTAGGGCTTGAGACTGTCCACAAAGCTATAAAACATTTAGCTTCTTAGTTTTGAAGGTTGTTCCTGTGTTTTGTTCAGCATTCATAGCAGCAGATACATTTACACCTTCCTCTTTATTTTGAATGGATACACCATTTGTAAATGTGAATAAAAGCTGAAAAAATACAACTTTAAATGATTTGAACAACAGCATACAACAACAAATGTTTCTGTTATTTGATTGTTCAATTGAATTTTACATTAGAAAAAGAAAAAACTGGTTTGTTCCAGTTTGTAAAATGTCAGTAATTGGCTTTCATAGAAACAAACTGTTCAAGGCAGCCTTTATTGTAATTCAACAACCTGGAATTGAAAATGTGAAATGCAAAAAGCATACCAGGCATTGCAGGAAAAAGCAGATAGCCGTAACCTTCAGTCCGATAGCGCTGCCAGGAGTCCAGAGACAGAACTTTGAAGTAGAGCACTGGCCACTGGAGAACTGACTCTGAAACCAAAAGAAAACTCAAAGTTCAGACTAAACTCATAAATGTATAAATGTACCTTTAAAATAAAGACATCACTAGAATCAAAATTAACCAAACATCATATTTCATAGATGATACTGACCTTCACTCTCTTTTTCACACATGTAGAACGCCTCAAAGCTGAAGGGGAAACTGAAGAAAGCTACATTTTCCTGTTGGCAGAAAACAATACTTTTTTTTAGGGTTCAATCAATCTCAGTGAGAGTGCTCTGAAGCTTTTCTCTTATTTAAACATTATACAAACCTTCCCTAATGTTTTAGTCCGGCAGGTTTGGGTTACCCCAGAGAGAGACTGAAATGGCAAACTGGACCAATCTGAAACCGGAGAGAATCATAGAAGTAGAAGTTAGAGTAGTTTATTTGATTTTATCACAACAGTTAAAACTACTTTCTTAAACTGCATGTGACTTACTGTTGGGCAGCTCCATGAAGAAGTGGATGTATAAATTATCATATTCAAATCCTTTGGCTGAGACTGGAAAAAGGAGAATAAAAGAAAGACAAACTTATTAAAGACATTTCATAAATATAAAGAGTTGTGATGACCACTGATCTCCTACTCACCAATCTCTCCATGCATCACATAGCGCAGAATACCAGCAGGAGGCTGAGGAAGAGGCATGAAGTACTTATCAGACTGAGCAAGATCAAGCAAAATGTCAACTTGTTTTGAACTTGATTCTATTTGTCGTCATATATGACTTAAAACTGAATAACTTTAAGGCTTTAGACCATTGGTTGAACAAAGCAAGCTATTTAAATGATTCACTCTGACCTAAAGCCCTAATAGAAGTCAGCTCCTGTGATAATATAATGAAGACTCACCATTTCAAAGTCTTGACCAACAAGGCTGTTGAGGTACTCCTTGTGTCGTATGTACAGCTACATAAAGAGAAAAAGTGAACGTTATAAGTGGTATTATGCTGCCTCCATAAACGGTAAAATCAAAATGAACATTTAAGGCTGTTCTCTTCAGCTCTGCTCTGGTTGTGGAGGAAGTGTGACTGAGGTGAACTCACATCTTTGTACATGTTCTGCTCCTTCTCCGTTTCCTCTGGTTTCATGGCTGTAGACACATTCTCCAGAGTGAGACGCCAAACTTCTCTCCGCTCGCCCTCGGTTACGATCCTGCACACCACAAAGCACAAACAGGTTTTCATATAGTTCATAATGTGTGTTTTTGTGTAATCATATCGGATATGAACCTCAAGTTAAAAAATCTAATTTATAATGCCACAATTTACCACTCAGGTGTTGAAAGGTCTATGGTAGGCACTCCCTCTAGAGGGATTGACTAGTACCTATTTTGAACAAGTATAAATAAGTCCCACCTGTGTATATTTGAATAAATCGTCCGTGTTGCAATTAAAAAACTATTTTGGAGTTCTGTCTTTACCGTTTTTCTTTCTTATAGTTTGCCCATAAACCATGATGTACATATTATAACAGTTTCTTTCTTTTTAATGATTCATCAAAGACCATACAATATCAGTCTAGACTCTAGACATGTGGGCTAAAGTGGTGGACCTTTAACTGTCTGTGTGGCTCAAATCCTATTACAGCTTTAACTGGTGAAGCGGTTCATGTTGAGATGATATAAAAACTAAATATACACACGGTCTCAGTCCTGTTGTGAACTTGCCTGTAGGGCTCTTTGCCTTTGTTGAAGTCGGGTTTTACGATGACTGTT